CAGCCTTAGAGGTTGTGTCCGAGTATACCAGTGTAATCGGCATGGAGTTTGGGTTAGACAAATGCGCAGTAGCTCACTTCATAAAAGGAAGATCACCGAACTGGAGTGATAATGACGAGCTTACAGAAAGGAGCATCATAAAAGATCTGGATGCTAAAGAGTCATACCGATATCTTGGACGGGCACAATTTCCTTTACAGGACGTGTCTGTCATCAAAGATACTCTACGCAGTAAGTATAAGTCGCGACTTAAGAGAATATGGGACTCTGAATTATCAGGCCCTAATAAAGTCGCAGCCACAAATATGCCTGTTGTCCTAGTCTTGCTATAACCATTTGGAGTTCTTGAATAGCTCCGAAAAGAGCTTAAAGAACTGGACATTATCACGAGAAAGGTGTCCAACGCTTATACTTTCTCCGTGATCTGGGAGAGCGTGGACTACTAAGTTTGGAATGTCTACATGACAGGTTAGTGATAGGCCCGGCTTATAACATCTATGAGAGCTCTGATCCTCTTCTCAAGTTCGTAGACAGCTTTAAACTATTGGGAAAAGATGCGTTTCCATATAGAGCAGCATATCGGGGCCCCCGGGGTTACATAGATGTTTCTGTTCTTCAAGATATGCCGCGTAACAACGGGGGCAGATTATAGTTCGTCGTGCCCCATTTTCGCACTGCCCTATATGGTAGTCTGAACACGCCGAGCGCGAGACGTGTTAGCGACCGCCGACCAAAGCGGATAAAGTTGGTACTACGGGAGGCCAAATTCCAAGCCCTGTGCCTGGGCCTGCAAAGTCAAAATATGACATGTAGTCGTAGGTACAACTGGCCAATTGAGGTCCGACTCGTAGTGGTATGTTGTAAGGCCTCGGGCTTGTTACTTGTATCCCTGTGCCTGTTCTGAGGTGCAGGTATACGCGTCTTGGGAAATGACATCGCGAAGAGAGTAGACTCATAATTTCCCAGAGTTATACCCAAAGAGACGAGGTACTCAATTTCCGTCCTTCGGACGGGGGAAGCATCGATTTGGATAGAGCAGCATATCAAGCAGCGCAGAACCTCAGCTCAGTTTTCGAACCTAGCAGCCTAGACAGTCTGAGGCTTTTGTAATTGACTAGAGGGGAGCAAAAGGTCAATATAAAAGCAACCGAGCAGTCAAAACTGCTCGACGAATATGTGGCAAAGTCCTTACATGATATGTTTTATCGTCATCTCGAAAAACAGGACTTGTCACACCAGCTGACTTTTCAATATCTTAAGTCAGCTGGCTTGTTCTCTGAGACCGAAGGATTCATTATGGCCTGCCAAGATGGTATATTTTCCACCCTCGCCTACCGATGTAATGTTATGCACGAGCAACTTGAGGACACAAGATGCCGATTTTGCCATGGTGATGTAGATGAGACTCTATTTCATGTGCTATCGGCTTGTCCGAGATAAGCACGCTCAGCTTACATTGACCGGCATATCGCCGCCCTAAGAGTGCTGTATTACCACCTTCGGCACTCTTATGGAATAGACGGGACACCAGTGCTGCACTATGTGCCCGGTAAAATTGAGTCAGTCATTGAGAACGGGAGAGCAAAAATTCTTTGGAATTACCCGCTCTCTCTCTCTACGCCTTAACGTATTGAACACAATAAGCCGGATGTTACTCTTTTCGACCATACCACCAAGCACGTATATTACATTGAGTTCTTAGCCCCGGCTGAGACAAATATACGTGCAGAAGAAGAGAGTAAACAGGAATGCTACAGAGAGCTCATGGAGGGCGTGAAAAATGTCTATCACGAATACACAGCGCACGTGATAGTCCTGGTGATTGGCGCCCTCAGAGGGCTGAGAGACCGCTTTCTGACAGAGCTTCGAACAAGACCAGTCTGACGCAGTCAGGCTCAGATTCTCGCGGCTCGCATGCAGAAAGCGGTCATCCTTGGTTCTCTCCGAATCCTGAGACGACTGTAAATAAATGACTGAACGGCTGCAGCCCCGGCTCACCCTCAAACCTGAGGAAGTCGGGTGTCTGCAGGATAATCCCGTCTGGTCAGGCCCCAGGTGGGTCGGAGATCCTGGCCTGGGATCCCTGGCCAGACACCTCTGACGAATCGCAAGATGATAATAATAATAATAACAATAATAACAATATGGAAATTCATAATTTAGAAAATAATTCTAAAAATTTGGTTGAATTGGTCTCAACTTCTTCGGTTATTAATAGTTCTTTAGCTTTTGCGAAACCGGGTAAATTTGATGGTTCTCAGACGTTGGAATCTTATTCCCGTTAATTTGAGACAATCGCTCGTCTGCATAAGTGGACAAATGAAGTTAAAGCATCGATTTTAGTGTCCTGTTTGAAGGATAAAGCTCAAGTCATTCTAGAAAATTTGAGTTAAGAAGATTTAGGGAATTTTGACAAATTTAAGAAAATTTTGGAAGATCGTTTTGGAAAAGCTTAAATTTCTAGAGCTTATTGTAGTTGTAGCTTAAATTTCTAGAGCTTATTGTAGTTGAGACTTCAGTTGACAGGACGTCTTCTTTTTAATTTATAACTGTCAATCTTTAAATTTTCTATAAATTTTCTGAAGTTATTATTTGGTTATATTTTAAAATATCTTATATGTATGTTTTGGAGGTCTTTAATGATTTTCAGGTGCTGCAGTCCAGCTATAGGTGTGCCGTCGCGGCCACCTGACTTATTTTATGAGATTCATTATGTAGTAATATTTTTAATACTAAAAATAACGCCGTTCCTCGCGTTTTTAACATTTTCTAACAAAACATTAATTTTGCTACTCAATATTACTATCGCTGATTACTTAGAATTTAGTCTTGGGAACGTCCTTTGCTTTTGTTTAAACTTTTGGCTGTCGCTGCCTGTGAAAGCGCATCAGTTGGTGAGCATGTATGTGTACACATACAGATGTTTAGTTACTTATTTCTGCTGGACAATGTGAAATATAAAATGTAGGAGATTTTTAGGTCTTAGGTGATAGAGACCCCTTTCAGGGTCATTACTCATTAAACAATATCGTTTTACTTATTGTTACGTCCTGACAGACTTCACTTTAGTAAGGCACTTTTGGCGCACGGCTAACGATACCTCCTCGCGTTCAGGCTCTCCTAATACTTCGCGACACAGAGAGGCAGTATATTTATTGAAAAATTCGAATCAAAAAAAAAAAATCATTACTGGAAAACTTGTTCCGTCGAGAAGGTGAAAGTTCTACTTCAGGCGAAACTTGATACTCCGTTTCGACATTAAATTGTCAGCAAAACATTCATGATTTATAAAAATAATTTATTAGGTCACTATTCATTAAATTAAGTTAAGCAATTAATTTATTGAAGTCCAAAAGAATTAGAGAAAAATATAATGATATGCCGGACATAACACTTTGACTTGACAAAAGCTGCAAATTTAAAAAATTGAAGCCTATTTCAACAATTTTCTCCAAAAAATGTTCGTATAATTCAAGATAATTTTGCTACATGTGAGTCATTTTGGTGGATATGCATGTAAGTGTATACATAACCATGTTTTAATTTTTTAACAAAGAATGATTTATTTTGAACTAACATAACTTAAGTTACCAATGGTTTTAAACGGATTGTTTTCAAAAAGTGAACGGCTTATAAACAAGAACAATAGAAAAATTGAACATTCTTAAATGTTATCATGTCTGAGTGTATTTCAATTATTTTACATAATTATTCAAAATATATTTTAAAAGAAGCTAAAAATGTGTAGCAATAAAACTTAAGGATTGAGGTTAACGATTATTACTTCAGTTATTTTTCTTTGAGTTTTTCTAAGATTTTGTTAAAGCAGAAAAAATTTCGAACAATAGCTGAGGAAATCATCTTTTAGAAATTTTAATGCTTTTGGAAAACCGACGTGGCGGAAAAGCAATGAAACTTTCAAAAAAGAGTACGTGACGTAAGAATTCTACTGGATAAATATGTGAGATCGAGATCAGATCGTCGTGGAACATCATTGGAAATTGTGAGTCTCATTCGTCTTGAACATTTTATCGATAATATTTGAAAGTTTGTAAATTCTTGTAAGTTTATTTGATCGTCAAATTATGTTCAATTAATATTTAAAGAATTCACGAGTGAAAGTGAGTACTGCGCTGACTGAAGCATCGACTAAGGATGAATTAATTATAATACATCTCAAGCTGAATTAAAGAAATCATTTGTTGGTAACGTTTAAATTGTTATTATAATTTTTCAATACTTTTCACTTCATAAATTTTGTTATTGTTTTTATATAAATCACACATTTATACTTTCTCTATCGAAGATCCCCTCATCCCTGTCTATTGGTCAAAAGGCTAGGACTAACAAGAGAAACTTATAGTCTCTAAGACTAAGCATATAATCCACATTTGACAACTTTAAAGATCAAAATTTCATAACACATTCTTCTATATCTAATTATGATCTAAAATCTAACATCTGTTTTTTAATTTAGGTTTAAAGGTTTAGTTTTATTTTCTTGAAGAGAAAAAGACTCAACTAAAATTGACCTAAACAAAAACAGAAAAATAAATCTCATCTACAGTACCGGACATAAATGCTGTGTGATTTTTTATAGGACGGTATAGGGAAATCACATGTATAATCTTTCAAAAAATTAAATACAAATTGGTACTGTAGAGAACATTTATTGAAACACTTCATTCAAATGATTGTTATGATGATTATATACGGGAACACGTCTTGTACGTAACTGTGATCGATAATGAAATTTATAGAGGTCAATAAAAAGATTTTAATATTTCGAAAGCATAGCAACATGAAATTAAACATTTTCACATTCATTTTTTATGCTGAAGATGTTGGAACGTTCTCAGCAATTAAAGATAATAAAAAAATAATAATTATCTCAGTGTTTCAAATAATACATTACAACAACAGATTCGTGTCAAGTAGAAAAGTGAATAAGTAATATTTACGATTCTGTAAACTGAAAAGAAATATTTTAATTATATTACCTTTTTCACAGAAATCTCCTTCATAGTGATCATTACGACATTGGCATATAGGACCATCATCAGTAGAGATACAAATTCCGTCATGTTGACACGGATTCGCAGAATCACAGCTATCAGTTTCATTTGATGGTATAGCATTGAGAATACTCTGTGAATACAATAATGAAAAATTACTTTTAGTAGAAAAAATGCAACAAACAAGAGGTAGTTTATTTACAATCAAACAAACATATACATTAAGAAACCTGGTCGATTCACTGATGTCTAACTCCTGCACTCCTTATCATTAAAATTTATCACGTTTTCCGGGTAATAAACACAATGTTAGAAAAATCTTTTAAAAGATGAAGAAAACATAGACAGCATGAATTTTATCGCAGATTATGTAAAAATTGTATCTAAAGTATAGAACAAAAAAAAAGATCTTAAAAAATCACTTTATAAGGAAAAACTTTTGGAAATAGAGTTTCGATTTGTCCAATCAAATAATATCTTCAATTTCTAATTGGATGATTGATAACTCTATTTTTAAAACTAATTGTATTTATAAAACAATCCAATTTTTTCCAATATTTCTTTTTTTTTCATCCAATAAATATTATCATGTGAATAATGAAATAGTTTAACAAATCCGAAAAAAAATCATAAAACAAATTCTTCAGTCAATTGATCATTAAAAAATTTATATTCGATGACGTTAAATCAGATTGAATTTCATTGGCAATCGTTTTCTAGCTTTGATTAATGTACGCAATGTATTATTAATGTAATTTGGATTTTTTTATGTTACTAACTTCATTTCTAAACAAATGTTCTATGTCTCCAGAATTGTAAAAGATAGATTGAAATTCAGAAAATTCCACAAGTGTCTCGATTGTAGTATCCACTGATACGTGATCCGAAATTTTCGGAAAACTAGCTCGTACTCGTGACTTCATACACATAGATATTATTTAACTAGTATGAACAGCAATGTATTATTTATTTATAACAATTGTATTTGTTATAAATAGTTGAAAAAAGAGTCTATTATTAGGAATCAAATTTTTTAAGGTCATGAGGGAAAGATTAAAGTATAGACTACAACCACTAAGATTGACATCACTAAATGTTACGTCCTAACGTAACAGACCTTAGATATGGCGGTAAAGATACATAAAAAATAAATACATTAACATTTATAAACACGAATATAATAAGAATAATACAGATCTCGTATGAAAATGGTTTAACATATTCCAAATACTCGTTGAACGATTTTTTGTTTTTTACATCTAATTTAAACGTTAATCAAAAATTGTATTATAATACGAAAAGTCCGTCACATATCAACCAATTTTGAATATTTGGTTGGCATAATGCACTTTTTGAAGTAAAACTTCTTTACGCACGCTTGACTTGAAGAGTAAGTTGGTGGATGTGTGACAATAACAATTAAATTATCAATTGATAAAGTAATTTGTAATTTTATAAATCAAATTACGAATTACTTTCGCATTTGATAATACTTGAGGTGAAATTTCAAATTACAAGAGAAATATAAAAATTTTTTTTGCATAAGAAATTATATGTTTTAAAGTTCATATCTGTATTTTGACCATAACACATATGTTCATAAGACTTTATTTATGTTTTAATGTTCATGGAGATTTTCTAATGAACTCATTCACATCTGAATTGTTGAACAGATGTTCTAATGTTTGAATTAATGTTCTGGTAATGAGGAATGTGTTCAAACGATCCTTTTTATATTCCAATAGTGAAATTTGCGTCTAATATTCGTTGTTGTATTATAATGCTGGAACGGTTTTTCTAACGAACAAACATGTGTTTCAACGTTATGACATTTTGGCGCCCAAGCAGACCGACTGCGATTTTATGACTGAACCCTCAGATAATTTGACGGACTTAGCATGATAGATTTTCAACAATTAAACATTGTTAGTGAAGATTGAAGATCCAAGATTGAACTTATTTATCCTTCTTGAGTGAATCTATACGTGTTACACTCGTGAGGGTGATACCATCGTCATAAAGGATAACTTGAGAACTGTTTCATTTACCGTAATTGGAGATAGCTTTTGTCATACAATTACGTTTTATGCCAGGCATATCTGTATTGAAAGGTTCGTTTTGTACGGCGCACCGTTTTCGTCCGTTTTAATTCGTGAATTAATAAAAAAGACTCGTATTTTTTTCGATGTAAGGTGCACAAATGTTTCATTTCTGGATCTGTTGTCTCAAGGAAAAAAGGTAGATGGAGACATCACACACCATGTGAATTTGGAGATCAAGGCATGCTGTTTTGGTGAGATATCTTAATCGTAACCAATATTCCCTTAGATGAACAAAGTTGTGTTCAATTGCTTCGACAAATTTTTAGAAATCATTCCAGAGATAATCCTCGTGCAGATGCACCTGCTTAAGCAGCTTCTACGATTGAAGAAGATGCTCCTGCTGTTGAAGTTGAAAATGTTACTCTCGTTGGAGAGTCGGGTAACAAAGATAATTTTCTATTTGATGATTACGTTCCAACGCACTCTTAATTAGTTATTCCGAGCTATCCGTAATTTTTTCTTAGCTTGATTTAAAATGTTTAAATTTCAGTTTACTTGGTTCATATTGTGAAACTACAGCTTTTTTTAAATCTTGGCTTTCCATTTGTACTATATTTAAACTTGTTTCATCATTTGGACACTGCAGTAAATTTGAAAACTTAATTACTTGCTACTTGAAACTTTAAGGCTGTTAACCAGGTTGATTTTCATATTATTGTAATTTACCAATACTGGTGCCAGTAATGGCCGATATATATGTTCAAATTACCGACCGTAAGTAATACAAAACTGAGAGAAAATTTTAAAAAATCCAGAAAACTATACATCTATCGATGAAAACTGTTGCTTGTTCTTCTGTTAATAAATATTTTCTAGTTTTATAAACAATTTTGGTTTTCATTGAAACAAGTTGGTCACTTAATTATTTTCAAGGAGTTAGCTACCCTAATCAATAGCGCAATAGCTAAATGTATAAAACTATTGTAGAACATCTCCATGAACATTAAAACATAAATAAAGTCTTATGAACATATGTGTTATGGTCAAAATACAGATATGAACTTTAAAACATATAATTCGTTATTGAAACATGAGTAAAATCATATATTTATGCTACTATGCAAATTCCTGGTGTCTGTCTATCTGTTCACACTAATCTCTGGAACGGCTTATTCGATTGCGACCAAATTTCGCACTTATGTGAAAGGTGTTGTAAGAAAGGTTATAAGCTACTTTTTTCACATAAATTATTCATAACAATTGAGTTCGTTTTAAACAATTAAAAACAGGTTCTATGCAGCATATTTAAGTTCTTCCAACCCATAATTTTTTCTTTCACTAAAACAAATTTACAAATTGTGTAATATAAATAAAAACCTACTTCTTTTGTTGATGACAATTGAAACTATTATAAACAATCGGGATTGGAATCCATGCTTCACATTAAAGTTGATTTAACGAGAAATTTTTTCCTCTATTGGAACAAAGTTTCTAACTGTGTAAAATAAATATTAACCAACTTCTTTTGTTTGTAACATATAATTTGTTGTAACGTAATAGAAATTGAGTCTTACAATTGAATTTGAATTATTCCCTTCCATTATAAATCCTTACGCATATTGTTTTTTCATTATTACTATCACATCGCAATAGGTTCCTAAAATTTACTTATTTGCCGACGGAGTCCCGAGAATTTACTAGCTACAACATATATATATATATATATACGAATAAAATTGCAGTGTTTGTCTGTGACTTTCAAAAAACTGCCTTAAAATGAGCTCAGAGAGTTATTTGCGAGCTGTTGTAACGTAAATAACTATTTATCGAAATTCTGTCTGTCCGGGGTAATCTTGGAAACGGCTGGACCGATTTCGATAAAACTGTGCAGACATAATGAAACTGATGTTAGGAGTAACATAGGCTACTTTTTGTACATAAAAACTGTTTGTAACAATTTTCTAAACAATTAAAAACAATGTCTACCCTTGTAAAACAAACTGATAGGACTCAACAGAGAACGACAAGATTTCTATCCAGTTGCACATTCCTTTGTCGTACGCTATCGTGCCTATACAAAAAATGTATTTTCGAATAGAGATTTGAATCGTAATCTATCGTAATCAATTCGGAAAAATTTGAACAAGAATCTAAGACACATTGCTTGTTGTATCATATTGTTTGGTGTCGTAAATCATGATAAGAGAAATTATTGTAATCTATCGTAACTGAGTGTAACCAAAAATCTTGTCGTTTTAAATACGGAGAATAAAACAAACAAAAATATGCATATAATTCACTATCGTAACGTCTGGATAAGACGTCTATCGTGATCTTTGACAACTTTTGAAAGAATATATGGTTATCGTATTGAATTCGGCAAACATAAAGGGTAGTGAGCAACGATAAACACAAATATTTATTTTGTATTTTATCGTAATCCATCGACAATATTACATATACTAGAGAATATTCGGTCGTATCCTGTCGTAATTGATCGTGAATATATTATTTGCTCCAGAATATCCTGTTGAATCCTGTTGCAGCTAATCGTACCTATTTATTCATTTTAGAATATCCTTTCGTATTCAGTTGTAATCGATCGTAAATATATTATTTACTCGATAATATCCTAATGTGTCCTGGATATATTTAAATGAACGGAATATGCAGAAGTAGTTACGACAAAAAACGATATGATCTTTAGAAGTGAATGTAATATGTGTCATTGGTTTCGACAGGATACCAATCGCAAAAATTATTAAATCTCAATTAAAAATTAAAAAAAGACATTATATTGTGAAATATAGTGAAATAATAAATCCAAAAAATATTATAAAAGAATGTAATCGTTTTATGAAATTATTTTAATTCGGATAAGTGTGTTCAATATGACGTCACTCATTTGATTAACATTGTAGTCATTATCAACGCAGATCTAAGTGCATTTTGAAAAACTGAGATTCACAGTGTAGTTGCTTAAAGGCAAACAGTTTTCAAATCTCTGCTTAGTCATTAGTTATCTACTGAGCAAATGAATTATCCAATTACGGTTTTTATTAACAGCACGATGGAAAAACTATCCGTTCGA